CGAGTTATTCATATTTCATGTAGGTCCCGTCTATTTTGCAAATAGGAGTTTGATGTATAATATATTTGACTAATTGGGACAGTCATTAGTTCAATTTGTCATAATCGCCAAGATGCTGATTTAAAATAATAAAGCTGCTCTCTTCACGAAACAACATAATTAATACAGATAAATGTAAAGAAAATAGATCACCTAAGTAAGAACAATCCACAATCATTTAAGCTAAACCACGTGATTCCATGGTAGTGAAGAGGCTCTGAACATAGGTTTATCTGAACAAACTTGAGAGGAAAAATCTTGGTCCATAATATTAATATGAGATGTATTCACCTAATTTCGTTTAAGGTGATGAAGGACTGGTGGAAGAAGAATTTTCCCACAATGATATTAAGTAAACAACTTGTAAGCTTGGCTTCACCATAGGGCTGATAGAGAAAGGTTAGACTAGCAATAACTCCCTACTTGCCTCAGAAAGTAAAACCCTATCCTCAGCAGCTTTCAGTTTATCCTTCATTTCGGCCAGCTTGGCCAAGTGCTGACCAGACGAAGACTTGACTTGACAAAGGTCTTTCTCCAGTCGACGGATGGTATCCGCAGCTGCTCCACAACTAGCACGAAGACGTCTGTTGAGGACAGCAAAATTGTTTTTGGTAAGCATGGGCAAAGAAAATTGAAAAAGTGACAAATTAATAGATCAACCAAAAAAACAAGGGAAAAATATATCAACTGTAATTATAAAACATTCTGAACAATGATCGAAAATATGTCAAAGAGATAATGCATTGGTTGGATATCCACAAGGTTATGAAAGATACCATTTAGTAACAGCGAAAAGAACTTTAATCCACCTTCTGTGTAACACGCCCTTCAGTAGAATTTTATCCATGGCAAATTAGTTCCCATATTTTGCAGATTAGTAAAGTGGTACATACTAGCCATTTATCGGGAACTCTGGTAGGGTGCTGGATAAGACGGTTACAAAAAAAGATACCAATGGATATGAGCTGCCCAGCGTGCTCCATATCATGGACTGGTGGCCAATCTATATCCTTATACTCACTATCACTATTAATATATGTGCAAAGCAGTTCAAATCCAAGACTGAAGTTTCTTTCAGTTTCAGGTATAGATAATCAGAAT